AAAAAGAAGCTGCTAAGCTAGAAGAGGTTCCCAATTATGAAAATTGTCCCCACTGCATTTAGCAGCAAACCATGGCATTCCATAAATCAACCAATGGACTTTGATGTCAACCCCATATTGAGAATTGTGATTAATGCAACTCAAATCAACAAGCAAGAACAAGCTTTATAAGTTTGAATTGTGAATGCAACACAAATCCTGTATTATGATCCAAGGATACTCCTTATAAGGAATGATTGGACTAAAGCTGACTCATCAAAGACAAAAATTCCTACATGAACAACTTCTAAAAGCCATTGACAAATAGTTGAAACTCCAAACATGTCTCTTTAGAATTGGCGATTTTAGAAACTGAAAGTTGCAAAAGGAACCTCAAGTTCGATTCTAACTCAGTTTCCAATTGCAGTGGGGCAAATATCACAAGTTTGCAGGAAGTGGATTTAAAACCAACCAACTATAGAAAGATGTCAAATTTATAGATGGGGTAGATGCGACTTACGTATTAGACGAAGGGCCAAAGAGAGGATTTTCTCTCAAAAGCTGAAAAGAAAGCCTGCCAAGAAACTCAGCCACACAGCTACCTTCAAATCCCAGATTGTTCTTAGGACAATCATTGATGTACATCACCACAACAAAAGCAGCAACGTTAGCCACCACAAACATCGGGACAAGCCACCAAGTCCATTGCATTTCAGTGTGTTCAACATGGTAGGGATATGTTGGTCAGTGATAGTTATTTGGCCTGTTCTTCTCATTCATTCCTCCTCCTCGTTCTACATCCCCACTTGCCATCTTCCTTCAAAACAAAAAACGTTTCTTTAGTTTAATAATGAAATTGGAATGTTTAAAAGTTTAGGGACTAATTTGTAATCAGAATCATAATTGAGGTAATGTGATGCAATTAACTCAATTGATAAAATATGAATGAAATAGCATTATACTAGGAATGTAAACGAACCGAACGTTCAGCAAACCGTTTGTGAACCGTTCGACAGGAAGTTCGTTTATGTTCGTTTATTTATTAAACGAACGATCATGAACAATATTTTTTGTTAGTTAAATTAAATGAACAAACATGAACAGAGGGCTCGTTCGTTCATTTACGTTCGTGAACGTTCGGTAATATGTTTGTTCATTTATATTCGTTCATTTATGTTTAGCCCAATCTCTCTAGATCCATTAAAATATTAAAGCCCAACAAATTTTAATCTGATACTAATAAATCTTTTTAAATTCAATTAATTTTAAATACAAATAAAAAAAACTCAAAACAATTAAATATAATATAATCCTAAAATTGTTAGGAAAGAAAAAAAAATCTATTTTCATTTGTGTTCATTTACGTTCATTTATTGTGTTTGTTTACGTTTGTTCATTTGAGTTCGTTTACGTTCATTTATTATGTTCGTTTATATTCGTTTACATCCATTCGTTTATATTCGTTCTTTTGTGTTTGTTTATCATTTAAATGAACGAACACGAACAAGCTACATTCCTTAACGAACGAATACGAACAAGATTTTTTTTCCGTTTATGTTCTTATTCGTTCATTTGATTGGTTAAAGTTAAACGACCGAACATGAACATACCCCCGCTCGTGTTCGTCCGGTTCGTTTATAGACCTAGTTGTGACTGAAATAACTCTTCCCAAATAGCGTAGTGACTGAAATAACTCTTCCCGAACTGTCAAGTGCTTGAAACATAATATTTTAAAGTTCAATGGTAAAAACATAATTAAGTAACAGTTTACTGACTGTGTCTGTAATTTATCCGAATAATAATTGGTGTGACAACAATTATCAAATCAAACAACATTCCACGAACCCTAACTTATCCTAATTCCATAAACAAGTATCAAATCCAATTATATTTTATTTTGATGGCTTCGACGATTCCAACGAACCGGTCCTCCTCCGATGACATTTTGGACACGACGCCGTTTCTCTCATCAACAGCAGCGCCTCACAGGACGAGCCCTCCTCGCGCCGAACCGTTCGTCGCCAGAGCCTTCGTGATGCGGCGCGATTCCTGCACCGTGCCAGCAGCCGAAGGATGATGCGTGAGCCGTCCATGCTGGTTCGAGAAACGGCCGCCGAGCAACTGGAGGAGCGCCAGAGCGATTGGGCGTATTCTAAGCCCGTCGTCGTCCTCGATATTATCTGGAATTTAGCGTTCGTGGTGGTGGCATTTGGTGTATTGGTTTGGAGCAGGGATGAGAGGCCTGATATCCCGCTGAGGTTGTGGATAATTGGGTATCCTTTCCAGTGTTTCTTGCATATGGTTTGCTTTGTGTGGAGTATAAGCGGAGGAGGAGGAGGCAGAGCGCGGAGTACAGCCCATTTGATGCAGGGGGGGAAGGGTTTTGAGCCCTGGATCGAGGGTGAGTTCAGAGCAGTACGTGTCATTAGCCCAATTGGAAGAGGATGGTGGCAGGTATACAATTATTTGATTCTAAGAGTTACATTGGTATTTGATGATTTAGAGAAGTTAATGGTAGTTTTAGATTTGCTTCTTATTGGTTAATTGGTCGAATTAAGATGTATAGAGGAACTTCAACAGTTTTCTTTTTTGGTTAGCCATTTTGGAAGTCCGATAAATTATGCTTTAGGTACCATTTCACAGCAACCAGAACAAGTTGCAATTAGGCATTTGATAAGCCTCCATCCTTGATTACCATGCACTACCTTGTTTCACTCTAGTGCTCCCAATTTTTCCTATCTGAAGAACGGATATGAGAAAACTAGAAGAGTTACAATCATCGCCAATTTGCATGGCCTAATAAAAACTTGCTACAGAATGAAGAAGAAAACTGAAATTACTAAGATATAAGACGTTGGAGTTCACAAATACTCTTTCCAATACACTGAACAACCGAAAATTATGTACATAAACATATTGAATGAAAGCCTCCTAGATCCAAGTTCCCTTAGTTTCTATCAGAAACATTTGGATTTGCATAGGACTTCAATTCCTCTGATACTATGCGTCCCTAAATGAGCTGAGCACGTAACCACATCATCCGTTCAAATGGCTTCCGGCTATACATTGCTCAAATTTCTACTACACTGAAACATTCTTTTGAGTTTTTCTTTTTAGAAATTAGTACAAATAAGATAAATAATCTCTGGATCCTGAAATAATATGAAACCTCGATATTCTTCTATCAAAGCAAGCAGAAAGAGGATTTCCCTAGCTGAAAAAAGATCAAAAGGTCAAATCAAAATACAGAACCCTTAAGCTATCATCAGAAAAAAAGAAGCTGCTAAGCTAGAAGAGGTTCCCAATTATGAAAATTGTCCCCGCTGCATTTAGCTGCAAACCATGGCATTCCATAAATCAACCAATGGACTTTGATGTCAACCCCATATTGAGAATTGTGATTAATGCAACTCAAATCAACAAGCAAGAACAAGCTTTATAAGTTTGAATTGTGAATGCAACACAAATCCTGTATTATGATCCAAGGATACTCCTAAAAAGGAATGATTGGACTAAAGCTGACTCATCAAAGACAAAATTCCTACATGAACAACTTCTAAAAGCCATTGACAAATAGTTGAAACTCCAAACATGTCTCTTTAGAATTGGTGATTTTAGAAACTGAAAGTTGCAAAAGGAACCTCAAGTTCGATTCTAACTCAGTTTCCAATTGCAGTGGGGCAAAATCACAAGTGTGCAAAAAGTGGATTTAAAACCAACCAACAACAGAAAGATGTCAAATTTAGAGATGGGGTAGATGCGACTTACGTATTAGAAGAAGGGCCAAAGAGAGGATTTTCTCTCAAAGGCTGAAAGAAAGCCTGCCAAGAAACTCAGCCATACAGCTACCTTCAAATCCCAGATTGTTCTTAGGACAATCATTGATGTACATCACCACAACAAAAGCAGCAACGTTAGCCACCACAAACATCGGGACAAGCCACCAAGTCCATTGCATTTCAGTGTGTTCAACATGGTAGGGATATGTTGGCCAGTGATAGTTATTTGGCCTGTTATTCTCATTCATTCCTCTTCCTCGTTCTACATCCCCACTTGCCATCTTCCTTCAAAACAAAAAACGTTTCTTTAGTTTAAGAATGAAATTGGAATGTTTAAAAGTTTAGGGATTAATTTGGAATGATAATCATAATTTGAGGTCATGTGATGCAATTAACTCAATTGATAAAATATGAAGGAAATAGCGTTGTGACTAGTACTGTAAACGAACCGAATATTCAGCGAACCTTTCGGCGGAAAGTTCGTTTATTTATTAAATGAACGAACATGAACAGAGGCTCGTTCGTTCATTTACGTTCGTGAACGTTCGGTAATATTTCATTTATGTTCGTTTATTTATGTTCGTTTATTTATGTTCGTTCATTTATGTTTAACCTAATCTCTCTAGACCCATTTAAAATATTAAAGCCCAATAAATTTTAATCTGATACTTATAAATATTTTAAAAAATCAATTAATTTTAAATATAAATAAAAAATCTCAAAACAATTAAATAAAATATAATCCTAAAATTGTTAGGAAAAATATATTTTCATTTACGTTCATTTATTGTGTTCTTTTACGTTCGTTCATTTGTGTTCGTTTACGTTCATTTATTGTGTCGTTTATGTTCGTTTGCATCCGTTCGTTTATGTTCATTCATTTTTGTTCGTTTATCATTTAAATGAACGAACTTGAACAAGCTACATTTCTTAACGAGTGAACACGAACAAAAATTTCTTTTTTCGTTTATGTTTTTTTTGTTCATTTTTGTTTGGTTAAATTTAAACGAATGAATATGAATATACCCCATTCGTGTTCGTCCGGTTCGTTTATATGCCTAGTTGTTACTGAAATAACTCTTCCGAAATAGCGTAGTGACTGAAATAACTCTTCCCGAGCAGTCAAGTGCTTGAAACATAATATTCTAAAGTTCAATGGTAAAAACATAATTGAAGTAACAGTTTACTGACTGTGGCCGTAATTTATCCGATTAATAATTGGTGTGACAACAATTATCAAATCAAACAACATTCCACGAACCCTAACTTAGCCTAATTCCCTAAACAAGTATCAAATCCAATTATTTTTTATTTTGATGGCTTCGACGATTCCAACGAACCGGTTCTCCTCCGATGACATTTTGGACACGACGCCGTTTCTCTCATCAACAAGCAGCGCCTCACAGGACGAGCCCTCCTCGCGCCGAACCGTTCGTCGCCAGAGTCTTCGTGATGCGGCGCGGTTCCTGCACCGTGCCAGCAGCCGAAGGATGATGCGTGAGCCGTCCATGCTGGTTCGAGAAACGGCCGCCGAGCAACTGGAGGAGCGCCAGAGCGATTGGGCGTATTCTAAGCCCGTCGTCGTCCTCGATTTTATCTGGAATTTAGCGTTCGTGGTGGTGGCATTTGGTGTATTGGTTTGGAGCAGGGACGAGAGGCCTGATATCCCGCTGAGGTTGTGGATAATTGGGTATGCTTTCCAATGTTTCTTGCATATGGTTTGCGTTTGTGTGGAGTATAAGCGGAGGAGGAGGCAGAGCGCGGAGTACAGCCCATTTGATGCAGGGGAGGAAGGGGTTTTGAGTCCTGGATCTAGGGTGATTTCAGACCAGTACGTGTCATTAGCCCAATTGGAAGAGGATGGTGGCAGGTATACAATTATTTGATTCTAAGAGTTATATTTGTATTTGATGATTTAGAGAAGTTAATGGTAGTTTTAGATTTGCTCTTATTGGTTAATTGGTCGAATTAAGATGTATAGAGGAACTTCAACAGTTTTCGTTTTTGGTTAGCCATTTTGGAAGTCCGATAAATTATGCTTTAGGCACCATTTCACAGCAACCCAGAACAAGTTGCAATTAGGCATTTGATAATCTGCCCTATGCATTTGACATGTGAAGTGTTTGATAGTTTCATTATGATCTTTGGCATGTCTGTCTGTTTAATATATTATCTTGATTCTTGGATATATTTAACCTCAATGGTTATAGCTTAAGTTATACATGATACTGCATACCTACACTTAGTGGCTAATCAGTTGGAATTGATGTTTTCAGCAGTGTTGCAAAGCATCTGGAATCTGCAAATACGATGTTTTCATTCATCTGGTGGATTATTGGATTCTACTGGGTATCTATAGGTGGCCAAGCAATGGCTCGTAGCTCCCCTCAGCTTTATTGGTTAGTTCTTATGTTGTTCTTTCCTGCCACTTTTTTGTTGTTTGAAGTCTTTTTTCCCTTGTAACTGGATCCCAACTCTTTTAATGCTATTTTCTTTGCAGGCTTTGTATAATATTTCTCGGTTTTGATGTGTTCTTTGTTGTTTTCTGCGTTGCTCTGGCATGCATTATTGGCATTGCTGTTTGCTGTTGTCTTCCATGTATTATTGCAATCTTATATGCTGTGGCAGATCAGGTAACTTTCATCCTGATGCATGTAAGATCATCATGATTGTAAATGCCTTATTAATTTGTACTTGGTATTTTTGCTTGAGTATCTAGATAACTTGGGGAAGTTTCTGTCTTGTTGTTTGAATGTGAGCTTTGTACGTTAATGTAGTTCAACTTAGATAATTGTCTTATCACATTTAAAATGAAGTTGATAGAAGTTTGTTTTCAGAAAGTTGATAAGATATAATAGTGGGCTTGCCATGTGATGCATAATTTGAATGCTAAATTTTACTTGATGACCATGCTTTATATACTTCTAAAGAAAAGTCTGCATTTGTCTGAAAAGATTCAGTTAAGCACTTTTAAGTTAAAACTCTACAATCTATGCAGGTTATAAGGCTCTTGGCAGTTAATAGATTTACTAGGAACTTTTTTAAGCTTCTATTTTCTGTTTTAGCATACCATTCATTGTACTTGCTTCATATGACCACTTGCATTAGGAGGGAGCTTCCAAGGAAGACATTGATCAGTTACCAAAATTCAAATTTAAAAAAGTTGGCAATGATGAGAAATCTGCTGCTGCTGTCCAAGGACCTGTTGGGGGAATAATGACTGAATGTGGTACAGATTCCCCGTTGGAACGTGTTCTTCCCAAAGATGATGCAGTAAGTTGATCTCATTTTGGTTGTTTGTGCTGTTTATTTCTCGTTCCTTCCTCTTGTGATTTGCCTCTTTGGTACCAATTTGATGTGAAGCAGGCTTGTGTTTGTGATAATTCCATTTATTGGTAGTCTTCCTAGTTTAAGTCCCCAGCTGATATTGATCATGTGTTAATTTGTAGGAATGTTGCATCTGCCTTTCTGCTTATGATGACGGAGTTGAGCTGAGGGAACTACCTTGTGGTCACCACTTCCACTGTGCCTGTGTAGAGAAGTGGTTGTACATCAATGCTACTTGCCCTCTCTGCAAGTATAACATTTTAAAGAGTACAAGCCACGAGGAAGTGTAGAAAAACAGGAATAAATGATTCATGGTTATATTCGTGACCACTTCATATGTTTTTAGCTCGAGAGCATCATATAATGAACATCATGTATGCAGTTGATACAGGTTATTCCATTGTTGTTTCTTGTAGTGGTAGTTGTAGATGATGTTGTCTATCATAAGGCTGGTGACAGTCATGATGTGCTTGTTTTGGCCCTGACCCGTGCATAGTTGTCGTGTATATTAATGTTTCCGGCGGGGGATCGAGGCACTGAGACAAAGAACACAGTAGCTTTTTTTCCCGCTCTTGTTTTGTGTCGCAACTAGTCTTGTTTAAGGCTCATTTTTACTTTTCCCTGTATTTTGTATTTTATATTTGTAAAGTAATTTAGTTGAAAAAACCTTGTTGAACAAGAAGTGCAAGAGGTGTTATTACGTGCTCTATTTAGAAGAATTTCAAGAAATGAAGATGAATAAAATAGTATTCATAGTTTTACACTGGTTTTCTTTTGCATAGGGACGAGAGTGGAGGAAAATGATTTACGCTTCTTTTTTCCTGTCATTTTACAGAAAATTCACGACTTTTCCCGTTGACCGTAAAACAATTTATACTGAGTAGGTTCATTTTCCTTGAAACAAATAAAGAAAAATAAAAGAAAATGAATTCTGTAAAACGTTTCTCTAAACAAACAGCGTTTTCTTGCACGTGCAGATGCTGAGCCCAAATTTAGGTCCAACCCCAAAATTTACATTTGCAAAGTTTTTAAGCTTGGGTTAAGTTTGAAGGATAGGATTGTAAATGAGATGAGATATATTGAGTTATTCGAGATTGATTCGATCAAAAATCGACTCAAGTTCGAACTTGATTCCAATTCTTAACGAGCCAAACAAGTTACTTGATACTCAATTTGGAAAGCTCGCGAGTAATTTAAAAAAATAATATATTAATTTGTTTTATTTTTAAACTAAATTACTATTATATTACCATTAATATGCATTTAAAGTTTAGATTTGAGCTTGAATCAAATTAAGTTTAGAATATTTTGAATTTAAGTTTTTTCGAGCTTGAGTCGAGTTTCAATTTTTAATTTTAAGTTGAGGTTGAAAATTTTAAGCTTGCGACCTTTTGGGTCAAGTCAAGTTTCAATTTTTTTATTTTAAGTTTGAGTCGAATTTAAAAATTTTAAACTAATAAAATTTTGAATCAAATTGAATTTAATTTTATATTTTTCAAATCGAAAAGAGGCTCTAGCCTCGGTATACGAGAAACCTTTTAGGGTGCGTTTAGTTCACAGAATGTAAGATTACCAGGGAATATGATTACTGTGAATGTTGTATTTTGTGTTTGGTTGGCTTAGCATGAATGTAAGATACCGTGTTTGGTTAAAGGAATAAAAAATTATTGGAATGTATATTTGACCAAATTGTCCTTATTATATATTTGTTTTTTAACAAGTTGAAAAATATTTATATATTTTCTTTAAAAAATTTAAATTCATAAAATTTATATAATTTTTTTTACAAAATTTAAAATGTAAAAAGGTTTAATGAAAGGGTAAAATTTTATTTTAAACCTTGAACTTCATATAAAATTTTAATTATAACTTTTTTGTAAATCTAAAATAGTTTAAGGATAAATTTGTAATTTAACCTTCGTAGAATTTTTATTATTCAATGAAAAAAAAGGATATTTTTGAAAAAAAAAATTTAAGAGCATTTTAGTCCAAAACGTCGATAATTCAATAATACCTAAGAAAAGGAAGGTAGTGACATTCCCGGTAATATACTAAAAAAATCTACTATTGGTAATCTTACGTTACCGGGAATGAGATTCCCGGGCTAACCAAACGAAAATGTGGATTCCATTATATAGAATCCCACATTCCCTATCAAACACCCCCTTAATTCGTCTATAAGCTACTAGCCAATAACCCAATCCGAAACGCGGCGTTTGAACACAGTTTACTTCTATCACGCAGAGGCCGGGGGCGCTGTTTGAGCTCTAAGGTAAGTTTTTCTTTGCCAATTTCCTCTTGAAAATGGAAGATCAGAGCCATTATAAAAATGCTCCAAACGATTGTTTTTGGTTAGCATGGCACTAGTTTGAATATTTCTGTTGAATTATGTTTGCATTAGTTGGCGCTGACATTGTTCTCAAACTGTTTGATCAAATGTTTCAGTCAGCAGTGAAATGACAGTCCATGTATTACACCAATCATTTATCACTCAAGTTGTCTTTCCTTCCATTGCTTTTGAACAAGAATTCTCATTCCATTCATTTGAGAATTCTAACATGTTTCGGTTGCATTTTAAGTATTGTATTACAAACAGACAAAATGCTAGTGAGCAAGATCTTGCTAGACATATCTTTTGGGTGCTTCTTGTATTGTAGTTTCTATCTTAGTTATGAATTTGATTTTTTCTTTTGTTCATTTCTATTGATATCGTGAATTCAAGTGTTTGATTGTTGGCTTTAGCATGTTGAGAAGCTGGATATCCATAATATATTTCTTTTAATACAGCTCTGACCCTTATTGTGTTTTCATTAAACTTGCAGCTTGAGGTTCTGTTTTTAAAAAGCTTTTTTGAAATCCTTTGGTTGTCAATGTTACTGGAATTGTAAAAGTGGAATTTTCAGCTGCTGTCAATAACAATCTTGCAAAGATGCTAGCATTACCCTCAACAAGGTTGCTTCTTTTGTTTGGGGAATCATTACCCTCGTCTAGGTTACCTAATGTCTAGGAATGTTTGGGGCCAGACCCGTGTACGATCTCTGACTCAGGTTAATGCTGATAATGAACCTCTTACTCTTGCCAGCCTTGGTTTTAAAAGTAACTGTGAGAAAACAAACAAGAACAAAGCAAATAAAATTGAGAGGCTGGATGTTTCTAATGAAGCACCCAAAAGTAAGTCGGGGGGTGTTGGAAGCAATAGTATAAAAGCAGTGAAGGCGGTTGGGTGAAAAAATCACTAGAAATTGAATCAGCTCCTTTTGCAGCGAAGTCATTTTCTGAGCTTGGCCTCCCACATTTGTTGCTAGAGAGGTTAGATGCAGCGGGCTTCATGGTTCCAACTGATGTTCAGTCTGCAGCAGTTCCAACAATTCTCAAGGGTCATGATGTCGTGATTCAATCATACACAGGCTCAGGAAAAACATTAGCATATCTCCTTCCCATACTTTCTGAAGTAGGTCCGCTGAAAAAGAAATCTCCTAATGGTGAGGGTGAATCTGAGAAAAAAAAGGAGATCGATGCGGTTATTGTAGCTCCCTCTAGGGAACTGGGGATGCAAATCGTTAGGGAGGTTGAGAAGCTTCTGGGACCTGAAGACAAGAAAGTTGTTCAGCAACTTGTGGGAGGTGCAAATCGATCAAGACAGGAAGAAGCTTTAAAGAAGAACAAGCCAGCAATTGTTGTTGGAACCCCTGGTCGAATTGCAGAGATCAGTACAGCTGGGAAGCTTCACACTCATAGCTGTCGTTTCTTAGTTTTAGATGAAGTTGATGAGCTCCTTTCATTTAACTTTCGGGAGGATTTGCACCGGATATTGGAACATGTGGGCAGGAGGTCAGGTGCTGACCCCCGTGACTCAATTGCTAAGTGGGCTGAGCGTAGAATCATTATGGTCTCTGCTACAGTTCCGTATTCTGTTATAAGGGGAGCTAGGAGCTGGGGGTCTGACTCACTTCTTGTCCAAGCTAAAAAGGTCATGCCACTTGAATCTGTTGCGCCCTCTGGACCTGTTAATATCTTGAAACCTACATCTGGTTCAGACTCTAGTATACGGACTCAGGCGGCATTGCAAAGCCTACCACCTGCTTTGAAACACTACCATTGTGTCACAAAATTACAGCATAAGGTTGATACATTGAGAAGATGTGTACACGCACTTGATGCCAAGTCGGTGATAGCTTTCATGAACCATACAAAGCAGCTAAAGGATGCTGTCTTCAAGCTAGAGGCCCGTGGGATTGTAGCTGCAGAACTGCATGGTGATCTTGGCAAGCTTGCAAGGTCAACAACTTTGAAAAAGTTCAGGAATGGAGAAGTGAGAGTTTTGGTGACAAATGAACTTTCAGCAAGGGGTTTGGATGTGGCCGAATGTGATCTTGTGGTTAATCTGGACTTGCCTACCGACTCTATCCACTATGCACACCGAGCTGGTCGAACGGGTCGGCTTGGTAGGAAAGGAACTGTGGTAAGCATCTGTGAGGAGCCGGAAGTATTTGTTGTAAAGAAGTTACAGAAGCAGCTTGGAATCCCCATTCCCGCATGTGAGTTTACAGAAGGCAAACTTAATGTCATTGAAGAAGACTAGACTTTGAGTCTGCCAGGCGATACATGCTCTTCTTTTTCACTATCATATTTGGAACTTTACCCAGCACTTTTTCCTTCTATATGCCATGGTTATGTTATACCAAAGGATGATTTTGTTGCATAGTGAATATCCTTACATATAATACAATGAATGTAAGTTTATGCTTTCTTTATATTTAACTTTTTTTTTTGGGGTCGGGAGAAGCCAAACGTATATTACCTTTTGCATTTCGTGATGTATCTGAAGTATATTTGAGTGTTTCATTGTATTTCTTATTAAATTTCCATTTTTCCTTGATAAAAAATTAAAGGGTAAGAATACATGAGAAGAGGCAAATGTGGGTAAAACAAAAGAAATGTGGAAGTGTTTGAGAAGAACAATTAAACTATGTTATAAGTGCTATAAAGATAGATCTCCCAGTCAATCAGAGTTCAAAACTCATTATTTAAATTTCATTTGATTCAGCCTAAAAAAGTAAATGGTATAATACACTTGGTGAAAAAAATAAATTGAAAGAAAAATTGGGATTTGTTTGATTTGTCGTGAAAATAATACACTTATCTTATTAGACGTTGATTAAAAGTAAGAAACTAATTGAGTAGGTTTGTTGTAATGTAATCATGTTATTATCAATATAGATTGACATTCTCGTCACGGTTGTTTATGCTGCTTATCACATCTATTGAGACGTTTGACATGAGATCAAACAATTAAAAGATTATTCTGATACTATATATCGCGGAATCATTACTCTCTTCTCTAAAAATGCTGAGTAATGTGAATTTCTTTCTGAACAAAAACGGTGTGAATTGTGTTTTTGTCGAGTGTTTGATACGAATTCCCAGTCCAATAATCCTCATATCAGAGAATTGATTTCACAAAACATTAAATGGCATTCATTCAGCCTCCTTTGATTTAAGGCCGAGAGAGTTTGAAGTGGCACAAGGCTTTATTTATTTATTTATTAATTACCAATTACAAGCAAAATAAAGAAGAAGGAATTTATGTACTCAAAAGAAAGAAATATGATTTACAGCAAACCAGTTCGCAGTAATTAGGCAATCCTTAATCAAGTGTTGTAATTAAGGGTCAAGGGATCTTCCTAATTTACGAGTCAAACATCAGATATGTTATTTTTAGTTTCCTGGAAAAAAGAAAAGCAAATGGAGAAAGAGATCC